TTCCAATTTGAAGGTTCATTTGGAAGAACATATATGCATCTTTCAAAGGGATCAAGGCAAAAAGCATTGCAACCTTTTAGTAGATTTGGTGGTGGCTCGGTAATGTTTTGGGGATGTGTCTCTTATAATGGATATGGGGATCTAATACCAATTAAAGAGACACTAAACCAATCGGGATACCTGGATATATTAAATGACCATGTGTTTCCATCCGCACGAAGACTGTTTGCTAGTGAAAATTGGATTCTCCATGCCACAAAGCATGGTTACCAACTACCTTTTTAAATAGGGTTGGACAAGATGTTCTTCCGTGGCCACCACAGAGTCCTGACCTAAATATAATTGAGAATGTCTGGGCAGCCATAAAAAGGAGGAGAACATTGAAAAATGACCGTAAACGAGAGGAAACAATTGAAGAAGTGAAATGTATATGGAATAGCCTGGAAATTGACTTTGTGCGAAAATTAGTTGATTCAATTCCAGATAGACTACAAGCTGTTATAGACGCGGATGGAAATTTATCTGGTTATTAAAAAAAAACGTTACTTTTTTGTTGTTTTATCTTATTTTTAATGATGTGTAAATAATTTTGAAAGGAAATAAATATGAGTAAATAATTTTGAAAACTAATGGCATAAACTTCTTTTTCGATTTGAACCACTAATTGGTAGATTTATTTATAAAATTTCTTAGCTATCATTATCTATAAAGTCTATGGATTGTGATAGAAATCTTTTTTTTTTCCAATTTTATTTACAAGGCGGCAAAATTTTGATTTTATCCTAGCTTACTTAATTTTTTTAGTGTGTGTAAATATATACGACTATGGCTGTATTTAATTTTGTTTGTTTAAACAACAAGTGTTTTTGGACTAAAATACACACCGCACTGTTAGAAATATTAATATTGGAAAATTGTTTACTTATCTGTCATTGTAGATTTTGAATGTTTTGTGGTCTTTTGTAATACAATAGAATCCAAAAACAAGTAGTTTTTTTCCTAAACTTTAATTCTACTTTACAGCACAATTATATAATTTTTCTTTTATTTCTTTTTAAATTCTTGTCGAAACCACAAAGAAAGTGTAAAGTTAAAGAAATTTATAAAGATGATAAAAATTGATGGCAAGTCAATATTTAAATAGTTGTTGGATTATACTTTTTTATACCCTTCACCTTCGTGAGAAGGGTATATATAAGTTTGTCATTCCGTTTGTAATTTCTATAATATAATTTTCCGACCCCATAAAGTATATATATTCTGGATCCTTATATGTAGCGGAGTTGATTAAGCTATGTCCGTCCGTCTGTCTGTCTGTCTGTCTGTCTGTCTGTCTGTCTGTCTGTCTGTCCGTCTGTCTGTCCGTCTGTGTGTTTGTTGAAATCATTTTTTAGAGGACCCCAGATATCGAGATCCAAGTCTGGATTATACTCCACACTATAGTCTGGACTATAGTCTAGTCTAGTCTAGTCTATAATATAATCTTCTTATACATACTACTCGAGATCCTTTCTTTACAAATTATAAACAAAAATAATGTTTAATTTATAAAGAAAATAATTTCTTGGAAATATTTGTTTATTATTTTTTCATTTAATAAATTTATTATTATTATAACACTTGTGTATTTGTTAATTATATCAATCATTATGTTTTTTATAAGAGGCGAATTTAAATATTTTATTGATGTTTCACAAACATACTGTAAACATTGAAATTGATGTATATATGACCGCTACCCTTTGATGAGTAAAAAGATTATTTACAATATTCAATTACTATTAGTTAATGTTTTGTTTATAATCATTATGAACATGATGATCATGTTATTTAATTGTTTTTTAGACATGGGTATGAAATAAACATATGAAAAAACAAAAACCAATTTAGTAGTAAAAAATAATTATTTATTTTAGCAAATTGAGGCTGTCTATAATAAGTAATTAGTATTTGCATTAGTATAGTTTTTCTTGTATTTGCACATTTTTAATAAGTTATTAACTAAATATACATGGATAATAGCTTGAAAAGAGAGGTTAATGGGAAATTCTAAAGTAATTCTTGTAAAGAAATTTCATATCTGATGAGATAAAGTGCGAGGGGCAATGCTTTCTAAATAAGCCTATTTTATTAGTTTCACCTTGTTTTCTCTAACTACTAACTACTAACTAACTAACTAACTAACTAACTAACTAACTACTAACTAACTAACTAACTAACTAACTAACTAACTAACTAACTACTAACTAACTAACTAACTAACTAACTAACTACCTAACTAACTACTAACTAACAACTAACTACTAACTAACTAACTAACAACTAACTAACTACTAACTAACTAACTAACTAACTAACTAACTAACTAACTAACTAACTACTACTAACTAACTACTAACTAACTAACTAACTAACTAACTAACTAACTACTAACTAACTACTAACTAACTAACTAACTAACTAACTAACTAACTAACTAACTAACTAACTACTAACTAACTAACTAACTAACTAACTAACTAACTAACTACGAACTAACTAACTAACTAACTAACTAACTAACTAACTACTAACTAACTAACTAACTAACTAACTACTAACTAACTAACTAACTAACTAACTAACTAACTAACTAACTAACTAACTACTAACTAACTAACTAACTACTAACTAACTAACTAACTAACTAACTACTAACTAACTAACTAACTAACTAACTAACTAACTAACTAACTAACTACTAACTAACTAACTAACTAACTAACTAACTACTAACTAACTAACTAACTAACTAACTAACTAACTAACTACTAACTAACTAACTAACTAACTACTAACTAACTAACTAAACTAACTAACTAACTAACTAACAACTAACTAACTAACTAACTAACTAACTAACTAACTAACTAACTAACTAACTAACTAACTAACTAACTAACTAACCTAACTAACTAACTAACACTAACTAACTAACTAACTAACTAACTAACTAACTAACTAACTAACTACTAACTAACTAACTAACTAACTAACTAACTAACTAACTAACTACTAACTAACTAACTAACTACTAACTAACTAACTAACTAACTAACTAACTAAAACTAACTAACTAACTACTAACTAACTACTAACTACTAACTAACTAACTAACTAACTAACTAACTAACTAACTAACTAACACTAACTAACTAACTAACTAACTAACTAACTAACTACTAACTAACTACTAACTAACTAACTAACTAACTAACTAACTAACTAACTAACTAACTACTAACTAACTAACTAACTAACTAACTAACTAACTAACTAACTAACTAACTAACTAACTAACTAACTCTAACTAACTAACTAACTAACTAACTAACTAACTAACTAACTAACTAACTAACTAACTAACTAACTAACTACTAACTACTAACTAACTAACTAACTAACTACTAACTAACTAACTAACTAACTAACTAACTAACTAACTAACTAACTACTAACTAACTAACTAACTAACTACAACTAACTAACTAACTAACTAACTACTAACTAACTAACTAACTAACTAACTAACTAACTAACTAACTAACTAACTACTAACTAACTAACTAACTAACTAACTAACTAACTAACTAACTACTACTAACTAACTAACTAACTAACTAACTAACTAACTAACTACTAACTAACTAACTAACTAACTAACTAACTAACTAACTAACTAACTAACTACTAACTAACTACTAACTAACTAAACTAACTAACTAACTAACTAACTAACTAACTAACTACTAACTAACTAACTAACTAACTAACTAACCACTAACTAACTAACTAACTAACTAACTAACTAACTAACTAACTAACTACTAACTACTAACTAACTAACTAACTAACTACCTAAACTAACGAACTAACTAACTAACTACTAACTAACTAACACCTAACTAACTAACTAACTAACTATAACTAACTAACTAACTAACTACTACTAACTAACTAACTAACTTAACTAACTAACTACTAACTACTAACTAACTAACTAACTAACTACTAACTAACTAACTAACTAACTAACTACTACTAACTAACTAACTAACTAACTCACTAACTAACTAACTCACTACTAACTAACTAACTAACTAACTAACTAACATTTTTAGTAAAAAAAATTGTTTGTACAAAAGAATATTTTAAGTAAAAAGTCGCATTTTTAGTGAAATATCAGTTTTTTAATGAAAAATCAGATTTATAGTGAAATATGGGATTTTTAAAGAAAAAATGGATTTTAAGTTAAAAGTCTAAATTTCAGTGCAAATTTTAAATTTTTAGTGAAACGTCGGATTTTAAGTGAAAATTTGGATTTCCAGTTAAAAGTCAAAATTTTATAAAAATTTTGAATTTTAATTGGAAATTTCGTAGTTTTAGTACAATTTTTTCACAAATTTTTAGAGAAATGTCGAAAATTTAGTGAAACGTATTCATAGTGAAAATGACGAGTTTTTCCATGAATTATTCAATTTTGGATTTTTCGTGAAAATTTGAATTTTCTCAAAATTTGCAAATTGTATTGCAATCGAATTACAACTACATATTTTAATCATCAGAAAAAACAATAACGACAAATTTGCATTTTACTTGTGCATCATATTGAAAACGGCAATTAAGACAATGATAAGCTAAAAGTAACAATTTCAAAACTGTGGCCTAAACAATGTAAATATTAGACACTACAAGGTTGTTGAAAAAGATATTTACGTAAACGTTTTATGACATTAATGCTTATTTTTAGCAAAGTTAACATAATTATGATTTAAGACAAAAAATGTTAGATTTATGAACAATTACAAAAAACTGAAAAGCTTTTCAATTATTATGATGTACAAAGCTGTTTGACAAACTACTTATTTTTTGCAATATAACTTAAAAAATCTATAGGTATTTCCAAAAGTTCAGAATCAACTTCTTAGGGTTTTCAGTTTATAATTTAAAACACCAATTTATTATTTGAAATAATTTATTTTTGACTTTTGCCTCCCCCTTAATTTAAAATCCCCGTTATAGCCCGCTCTATCATGGGCTGCAAAGGTGTGGGTAACCAGTTCTTAAATGTTCCATCACTCAGCATACAAACATTACGATCTATGTAACAGTACAATTTGCCCACACGATAGATTTGTTTGCCCAACTCCCTTCGTCCGGGTAGAGGAGCAAATAGTACACCTCTTTCAGCACATTTGCGGGAAACCAATTCTTTAAAGTCTAATTGAGCAGGAGCGGGTACTTGTAGATCTATTAGCGAAGGAGGAGGTGGTGGTGGCTGAGGTGGAGGTGGTACTGGAGTAGCCTTTATATTGGCTCCTATATTTGAAGCACCTGCTAAGGGAGTAGCTGTTGATAACTGATCTGTAGCACGATGCATAATCTCTAGGGCTCGACGCAAATGTTCTTTGATATTGGGCTCCCTTAAAATTTCCTCCGAAAACATACTTTTCCAGCCGCTATACCAGCGTGATATTTCCCCATAGTCGGGCGACTGATTGAGCCATAAAACCAAAACCTGCATCCATTTGGGAAAGAAAAATTTATCTAAAAGTTGTGCCATTTGTATGGAGGGTATGAGTTCATGCCATTCCCAAACTTGATTCCAGGGTTCTGTTGAAAAAAAGTTATATTTTAGTTTTGAATATAAATTTCCTTTAAACTGAGAAACTTACCCAAATCCTGCTGCAAAGGATTTATAACAAATTCCGTTAAAACCAATTGTAATTTGGGTATAATATGCTGCAATAGGAAAACTTGCATTTCACTGTCATCAAAGGCTCCCTTCCAGGGTGTCAACATGGCACGAGCCGAACGATCTTGAGGCATCCAGGCCTGCAAAGCATTGCCCAATTTTTCACGTATGGTGGGGAATATAAATTCCTCCATTTTATGACCCAAAATAGTATTCCAAGGTAAAATCCATATGTGTATGGGCACAGTATCAGTAAGTGGATCCCAATTACGTACCGCAGTACTCAAACGCGGCAATATCAACTGTTCTAGAACAGAATCCAATATCCAAGTTGGAAATAGAGGAGCCCAACAGTCTAGCAAAGCCGCCATAGACTGATGATGTTTAGGATCCCAAAATTCAGCACAAGAACGAAAACTAGGTATTACCCCCGCCCATACCAGGGATGAATAAGGATCAAATATATTCGAACGTGTTTCGTTTTGTGTATCATTTGAACTTTCCAAAATAGAACGCCATTTTTTAATTAATTCCACATATAAAGTGGGATTTTCTAAAGGCTTCCATTCGCTTAAATGATTTTTCAACAAAGGTGCTATAATGCCTGCCGCCAAATCGCCCAAACCAAACTGTTTGTATTCAGCAGCATAATCCTGCTGCAGTTCTACAAAGATTTTTTCAGCTCTTTCTAAATTTAAATCCGATTCATTGCTGGTTAACTCATCCACCAAAGAGAGTACCTTATCTAGGGTGCTAATGTGATTACTTTCCAAATTGACTATTTCCTCTAGCTGTTTCTTTTCCTGTTCCAGGGCCACTTGTCTTTCATTAGCAGCATTTTGTGCTGAGTCCAGAGATATAATATCCTGTTCACACATGTTTACTATGAGCGTAAGATTATGCATAAGTTCGGGTAAAGCAAATGCTGTAGCAGATTTTTTCGGCTGTTCGTTTAGGTCATATAGATCTTCATCGGCTACTTTAGATTGACCAATGGCATGATAGCCACTAAGGACACGTTTTTCAGGACCGGTCATGTCGATAACAGGGACATTTCCCAGTTTTTTGCTAAAATTTTAATTATAAAAAGTTTTGTTATTAATTTTTGCTCAAATTTATTAGTAAACACAACAATAGTAATCAAGAATTAAATTAAAGTCGAAATTCTGGAATTTGTTTCAAAGTTTCCTTCGCCAAATTACATTTCTTCTATCACTAATAATAATGCTTTTTGAACACAAGTTATTGAGCACAATATTGCTTTAATATTTACTCACCTTATTTTATCGCTGATAATGTAATTCGAACTTTTGCCTTTTTCCAAAACCTCCTCCACGGATTTGTAATAATAACGCTTAGAGGCCTTGTCTTGTTTAGAATCACCTGCCTTTTTCCATTTGTTCAGTTTTTCTTTGAACTCCTTGGCTTCTCGGACATCTTCATCAATTTGGGGTTTATGCTTAAAGTAATAAAATTATCTTTAAATAAGAAGTACTTTAAAAGTTGTAATCCATAACTTACCCCTTTACCACCCACACTGGCCGACGTTTCAGGGCCATAAGCTCCTATGGCTCCTCTGCCCTTACGTACGTGAGCCTCCACAGGTTGGGATATGCCCTGTAGATCTTTACCCAAACCCATGCCTGGTTTATAACCCATCTGCAACAACAATTTGGCACCTATACCCCTCGTATGTTGTTCCCAGGCTCCTACATTTGAGTTACCCGCTTGATTGGCTTTAAAATATGAAGGTTTCTGTTTAGCCGGTTGGGGTTTTCTTACATCCACCTCCTCTTCTGACTCATCACTTGTGTGAGCTGAATCTACATCCATTAAAGTAGGCCTGCCTCCCGTGCCAAAGCCAGGATGAGCACTGAACTCATCTTCCTCATCTGTTATGGGATTTTCTTCATCCTCTTCCTTAATATCATGCTCATCCTTAATTTTATCTTTTTTCTTGCCCGACTGCTGTATGCCTCCTGCCACAAAACTTACTGGGGCAGTGTAATCTTTACTGCGACTGCCGGAGGAACCCAAACCCATGCGGCCTTTGCGTCCACCACGCCGACGTCCGGACGATTCTTCTTCCTCATTTTCGCTATCATCAGCCCAAATGCCTGCCGAAAAAAACACATATTTTTAACAAAAACATTAAAAAAACCTGTAATCACCATGAACATTCACCATAAATTTGCTGCTGTTTGGTTTGCTTTTTCCTTGGCCTATTCGGATTGAATTCATTATCCAAATCGTAGTCAGTTATTTCAAAACGTTCATATTCATTGTCGGACATCTTATTTTAAGGTATAAACTACTTTTCTCTTAATTTTCTTTAAAATTTTTACTTTTTTCACGATCTTTTTAGACCGGTTGTAAACAAAACGTTTGACATATGCTAAAAACAGCTGGCACAAACAATAATTCTATAACTGTAGATAATTCTCTTCCAATGGCTCCCAAACTGTCTTGAGCAAAAGAGTGATGCCATATAGTAATGTATGTCGTGGATCATTTTAAATTAAACGTTTTAAATCAAACTAATAAATTAAAAAAATTTGGAACATAAAAGGAACTAGATCTGATGTAGAAGTAAAGCAGAACTGAAGTAAACTTGAACTAGAAAAAAGAACTGGAGTTCAAATAGAACTGAACAAGGGGTAAATTATAATCTAAAACTAACGAGAACTTAAATGGTACGAACTATGTATATATTTGACCTTGAACATAATAGAAATAGAAATGTTCTATCTTAATAGAAGTGTACTAAAGACCTGCACATGTCAACAATAAGACAAGAATTTGTTAAAAAATGTCATGGCGGACACCATATTTTTTTAACAATTTGTTGTCTTATTGTTGACTTGTGCAGGCCTTTAAACTGTGCTAATACTGTAGAACTGTATTAACACTGAACTAGTTAACTAACTAGCTATAATTTATTATTAACCCCTACTAATGCGAAGGTTACAGTGATACCAAGTTTTCAAATGTTTACACAAACTTGGTACACCTTACGTCGTAATATTTCCGCCGTTAAAAATTTTGCAACGACTTTGACTTCTGCCTTAGAACTCTTTCAGTGAAATGCAATTTTTGCCTGCTGATTTTTGTCTTGAAATTGTAATTGACGCGAGCGCATCTAAAAGCGCTAAAAATCACGCAAAATTAAATAAAAATACAAACAAAAATCGGCTTTAAATTAATTCAATATAAATAAACTCAATACACTAAACAAAATAATCTATGTAAATATTAAACACATTTAAATAAAATAACAAAAGTGAAGTGAACTAAAAATTAGCACGTGTTCTTCCAAGTAATTGTGTTTCTTTTTTTCTGGTAACAATAAGAAAACCAATAACAACAACTGTAAAAAGAAGTTTATTTTTTTGCTTTTACTCTTTGTGCTTTATATTCTAAAAAAAAAACGAAAGAGAACGTGAGATTACTACAAAAAAACAGCAACAAAAAACACACAAACAACTTGAAATATATTGAAATAAATAAGAAAAAAACAAATATTTGTAAATAAAAGAGAATTTTTTAGTTTATAAAAAATTTTGTAATATAAATTAAACTATAATAAAGTGTAATTTATTAAAAATTAAATAGATTTTTAATAAAAAAGTGTTTAATTATATAAAAATAGCAAATAAAAAATTAAGAAAATTTTCTTAATCGTGTGTTGTTTACTGAAGAATAGTTTCTTTTTGTTGTTCCTGCAACTTTTGTTTGGATACAAAACATTGTGTGATTTGTTTATAAACACAACACGTGTATTTGTGTGGCAAAGTGGAAAAGGAAGGTTTTCAGCTGTAAATTATTAATTTTATCAACAATTTGCGGATTTTTATTAGAAAAAATAAAACAAAATGGTGCAGGTAAGTGTTAAAAAATATTTAAAATATCTATAATTTTTTGTGTTTTTAAGAAGATTTTTATCCACCATTTAAGCTGATCCTTGAGACATTTTGAAAATACAAGATTTGTTTACATTTTTTTAAGTGAGCACTTTTGTTTCTAATTTTAAAGGTTTAATGTTAAAAATATTTAGAAAATCCTCAAAAACTCAAAGTTTTTGAATCTTATACATATGTACCTAACTAGATCTTTCAGAAAATTGAGTTCAATTCATGTACATATAGGTATACGCACAAATTGTCTAATTTCAGTAAATCTATTTCGTCATCTAGTGAAAATCGGGACTTTTAATGAAGAATACCTATATTTTAGTAAAAAGTCTGATTTTAGTGCTTCATCGAATATTTAGTGAAAATTTGGATTATTTATTGAAAATTTAAATTTTGATTTTGTTTTCAAATTTACTGAAAAAAATTGAATAGGTATTTTAGTGAAAAACTGTATTCCTTTTAAAAAATAGGGACTCATAGTGAAAATAGTATTTTTAATAAAAAATGGAATTTTTTATGAAATTTCAAATTTTTAATGAAAATCGAATTTTCATTGAAAATCGAATGAGTATCTGATTTTTTACGCAAAAGCGAATTTTTTAATCAAAAATTGCACTTTTAATGAAAATAAAATTCTTAATGAAGAATATTTTTTAGATTTTTAATAAAAATTTGATTTTTTAGTGAATTTTAGTAAAAATTTAACAAAAAAAATTGTTTGTACCTATAACTCAAAATATGCGAATTTTCAAAAGTTTGAAAATTTGTTTAATATAAAGTTATACAAACTATAGGCTATAGTTAACTAGGACCTTTTCCTAACTTTCCGGCAAAATATTGATTCCGCAACAAAAGAACTGGTCACCTTATTAGGCCAAACACGATATACTGTTTTGAAAAGAAGCAAATTCAGTACTATAAGAAGAGTGGGAGGCAATACTTCCTAACAACTTCTTTCTATTCTCTTGATAAAATATTAACGTTTTCATGGCTACATATTCTGGGCGTTTTTCGACCAATGTGCTTCATATGAATCACTTTCATTCGGTAGAGTCTCCCTATGATGTTCTTTTGGTGCCACCAAATATAATACATTATCTTAGTGACATGGATATTAGACTTTAGTGTCGATTCGGCTGCTTGACCGGGCTTCATATTTAAGGTCTCTTGCAGTGAATACATTTTTCCTCATAAATAATAATTTTAAGCAAAAATGGTTTTCTTTTATAGCATTCAAGCATACCAAATCATCCATTAAAACCTTTCGTCCTTAATTTTCTTTCGATTACCATTATAAAGTAAAGTCTTAAATTCTTGGTTTTCAAAGGTTTTTATCTCATCTATCCGATCTTTTTCTTCCGTATCAAACCAACTATCTCATACTTTGAAACCGATCGAACATATCGTAAGCTTCGGCGAGCACTCGATGTACTTCAGCGGCACTTGTACTTAAATTAGGGACAGATCCTGATTTTAAAATTATTCACAGATCCTGATTAAGTTTGTTAGAGAGGTTTTATTTCTATAAAAACTTGTTTATGTTAAATATCATCATTCATATGGGTCGTATATGGGATCCTATAAGGGAAGTAGGGTCAATTATAGGCTGATTAACTTAGTATATATATGTTGATTCCCAAAAATAACTTCATTATTTTGAATTTCGTCGCTATACTATAAGCCAGTTAGAAGTCTTAAAATAATTTTATAAATGGGGCCTTAGATTAGGATCAATTATAGATCCATTCTCATACAATTTGGCAGAGATATTTTTGTTCTTATAAAGCTACAGAGCATTTCATAGCATTTCATATAGGGATGATCACTAAATATTGTCCGATTTCTGTATCACGATTGATGTTTTAAACTCTATAACGGGGGGAGGGAGTGTTCATTAGTTCGGACTCTAGGTAAAACGGTTCGTACTCTAACGCGCTTCCAAATGACGGACGAGAGATTGTTATAGGCGTTAATTAGATGCGTTACAAACGAAATGACAAAATCAAAATGAATTTCTTCGGATGCTACCTTTTATAAATCTGATTTTAACATTCCCATGAAAATCTTCAATTCATCTGGTCTATCTACATTAATCTCAATTATTTCATCAATAAATTAGTTATTTGAAAATTTTATTTTTTTACATATTATTTATTAATATTTGAAATATTCCACATCAACTCTTACTTTGAGTGCAAAAGCTCAAACACACACACTCACAATATACACTTATTAGTGCATTTGTTTAATTAGTTTCCCCAAAACCAACAAATATTCGAATATCAACTTTATCAGCTTCTCTAATTATAGCGTGTTAAAAAGAGACAAAAAATAATCACAGCAAAATATGAAAATTAAAAACTCCATTTTGTTAATACAATAGACTTAAAATAAAAATAAACAGCAACAACAACAATGAAGAGCTAAAAATATATGCAACAAATGTTAATGTTCATTTTCTAAATTATTTAATACCATAAAAATAATAACAACAACAATCATATTGCATACATTATATATTTTCAATTAATGGGCCTAAACGGGTTTGCCCACTGAAGTCATATGATGAGGATATTTCCATTAGAGAGGACGATGGCAGCATGATGATGATGTCGATGGTTATGTGGTGGTTTTATTCGCTGATAATTAGATAAAAGGTATATTGCCAGACCACACCTAAAAATGGTATTTCACACAATTCCACAAAAAGATTTTTTTGCAATTTAGTTAATTTTTGCATAAAATATACATGAGTATGAGGGCATAATGTTTCCGATGCATTCCATAATGCGACATATTTTAAAGAGTTTTTTTTTTTTGGTTTTTGTATATCAAAAAAAATTGTATAAAGCAAATAACTCTCAGATAATGAACTTCTCTTAATATTGGAGAAATTTCTTTAAAGAAATTTTCTTAATTATTGATAAATTTTCTATAGACTAGACTATAGGCTAGATTATGGGCTAGACTAGAGGCTACATTATAGGCTAGACTATAGACTATAGATTATATTATAGACCAAACTATAGACTAGACTATAAACTAGACTTTAAACTAAACTTAAGACTAGTATTTATCCTAGACTTTAGACTAGTCTTTAAAATATACTTTATAACAGACTTTAGACTTTACTTTACACTAGATTGTATATTAGACTTTAGACTAGACTTCAGACTAGACTTTATACTAGACTTTAGACTAGTCTTTAAAATATATTTTATAATAGATTTTAAACTAGACTTAATACCAGACTTTAAACTAAGTTTTAGACTAGACTTTAGATTAGACTTTTGACTAGACTTTAGACTAGACTTTAGACTAGACTTTAGACTAGAATTTAGACTAAAATTTAAACTAAACTTTAGAACAGACTTTAGTCTAGACCTTAGACTAGACTTTAGACTGGACTTTAGACTAGACTTTAGACTAGACTAGACTTTAGACTAGACTAGACTTTAGACTAGACTAGACTTTAGACTAGACTTTAGA